AAGCCAGAACCACTAGAGCTACTAACGCACCACCTGCTGGAGGCTCCAGGTCTCTGTACCGAGATGGTTCCAGATGAAGTATGCCATTGTTGGCTGCTGCCTCTAGGCATAGCGATATGTGGTCGTATGCATTCCAGCATGAATTGTGTGCCGACGCAACTTGTAAACACCCAGCTTCTGTATTAGATACCACCTGTGCATATCCGCGCCTGCCAGCCCTAGCATGATCGCCATGATGGCACAGTTCTTCGAGTCTGCTAGAAGGAAGAGCCACGCACTGTCAGCTTGACATGCAGCACCCCTCCTCCAATGTTTGTGAGTGCTTTGTTTATGTTTTTCTTGCATTTGCAAAAAAGACGAGGATCCACATGGCTGGGCAATGCCAAGCGACCTTGCCAGGGACGCTCAATACAACAAAACACCCAAGAGCCACTGGCTCAATGCCTTTCATCCGGCGCATTTGTTGTTCCTGGACATGAGCCCCTTGCGTCTCTGGGAAATCCTGCCAGCTGGACGTACTGGGGAACCGCGTGTGGTGGCAGAATAAGGCAGCCCAGGATGCGCGGTAGCGGCGATCGTGACCGCCCTTTCTGCGGCCAATTTGCGCTGATTTGCTGCTCCAAGCGCAACCAGCTCTTCGCCTGTGCTGACAAATTGACATTTCAGACAGGTGATATCTGCATCCCCACATTTCTGCTGCCGGTGCGCTCTGCCATGCTTGCCAGTCTTCGACCTGAGAGATAGACCCGTATGGCAAGCGGCCCATTTCCACTTTCCACTTTCGGCGATGTTTCCTGGTTCCTCGGAGCCTTTCTCAGCTCCGTCTCCCTTCCAAGAGACTGAGAACCTCGCTTTCGCCACAAGCGTCCCTGGTTCCAAAATTTTGTTACCCAGGGACGCTGTTTACATTAGCGAAGGCTGTGGCCAAAAAAATTTATTACTGAATTTTCAGTTCACAAATCCACCACACCACCACCACCACCACCACCTGGCGGCTAATTGGCCCCAGGTGCATATGACGTCGCCAGCTGCATGTCTTGGCCCCTTGGCTGCTCGCCAATTAGAACAACACTTTGCCGCAATGTATGCCGGCAGTCATCGACGACAATAAAGCAAATTCAGGGATACGTGCCGTCCAAAAATAAAGAACCACCCGATGCATCCGCAGCCGCTGAGCACTACACCAGCAGCTCCACATTCTCACCTCGCGGATCTTTGCGTCGGCATGGACGGGCATGAGGTTGCCCAGACACAATGCCAAGCACCTGTCGGTGGCCAGGGAGCAGTCATTCGAAAAATAAAGGAGCTTGCCGTCATGCTTTTATTTTTGGCGCCTACATCCCTTGCATCGCAAAGCAAAGAATGCAAAAAATTTATGCACGACACATGCAGGTGTCCTGCTGCCCATTATCATCGAGTTCCCCTCCATATAGCGGCCGCTTCGGCAAGTGGGAGGGTCATATGTATGTCCCTGCCCTTTTCCGCCTTGCAGGATGATGAATACACACTGAGAGTGACACGCTCACCGGCACAAGGGCCAGCGCGACGCAGGGCAGCGTGACTTATGCAAGGCGGGATGCTGATTGGCATCCCCCGGCCAACCAGGTTCACCTGCCCTTCATCGCAGCGACAATTGTCGTTGCTGCAGCCACCCCGGCATCCAGACCTGCTGAATGACCACTCCCTTCCGCGCTGTTCTATTCGAGCAATAACATTCTGCACTGTCCCTTTCCCCTCAATTTAAGCAACAGCTGCATTAATTGACGCAAATATTCGGTCATGCAGCCAGCGTTAATTGGTTTGCTGTGAATCGATAATGGCACCGTGGCTGGGCTTCCTTGTCACAACGCCGCCAATGTTTATTCCCGGCCACTCGGAGGTGGAAACAGGGAGGGAGCGAGGCGGCATCCCCTGCGTCTCGCTTTCCATTTCCGGCCACACAAACATTTTGCGGCGCCACTCGATTTCTGGATTGTTTCCGCTGGGCTGACACTAGAATGCAGTTCCGCTAGTTCACACTCTGCGATGGGGAGCGAATAGTGGGGAAGCCCGCCTCTCCTGTGCGGAGCCGGTGCCAAGCCTAGCAACCTATCGGTGCAAACAAGGTCCTGTCGCACAACCTGCCTGCACGACATATACTCACCAAGGAGGAAAGTGATCCACTAAGTATAAATAGCTGGCAGCCAGTCAGTTTGAGGCAGAAATGGCCAAATAACGCAGTCCGGCTGTCCAACGAGCTTCAGCCGAAAATCCCAGATTACACAGAACATTACCCATCGATCCGGGAAAATTAAATGATTGGGTGCCGCAAAAGCATATACCAACATCAGCTATGTAGCTCAGACAGAATCTTCCTCTCAGCCGCTTTATTGAGCAACAGACGACGCAAACCGCCACGCAGTATATGCCCAGACCTACAGCAACAGTTGCCAAACCAAAAAATAACAAGGTCAAGCCAAAATACACGCTACTGCTATCCATATCATTCAAGTTTCAAACCAATTCCGAAGTTTTCAGCAAGACGATCGGCCGTGTTCGGCAGAGCGCCGTCCGGTCAAGCGGGGGGCTTTAGCTCAGCGGTAGAGCAATTGGCTGCAGTCCAATAGGTCACTAGTTCAAATCTGGTAGGTCCCTATCGTTTTGCAGAGTTGCATTATCTTTTGCTACTGCTGTCGCTACGGTAATTCGATATTTTTTGTCTGGTAGTCAGTACATGACCAAGATGAAATCAGCGTATACCCAAGAGATCACAATTTATGCCTCATTTACTTGCTCTGTATCAAAATGTATATCTTTCACAAACATTCATTTGGAATATTAGGCTATGGAGAAGACCTGCGAGGTCCATGTTTGATAGTCAGATGCCTTCTTGGTATCGCCAAATGGCCGCAGTGCCTTGATCTGTGCCCGGTACAGACCATTCGGCACACTGATCTTCTTCGTGAGTTTGCTGTCAGTGAATACAGTTCCGCTGATCTCAACCTCATTCATCTCAGTACCAGCGTCCCTCATATTGCGGGTAGCGTACTCCACGTACCCATCTGGCAGATATCCGACAGTAGAATTCTTCGAGTCAAGCAGTGTCGCAGTGACCAGACGCGAAGGCAAGTCCAGACGATACTCGAGCACAAGTGTGTTGTTGACATCAGCCGCAAAAGCAGTCAAGTCATCGTGCGTCTTCAAGTCGTTGTCAACAATCCGAGGGAAATCGCTGGAAGGCTCGGCCAGGACGTCGAGCTTGGAGAAATCTCCGTTGAAGCCAGCGTACGGAACGACAAGTGTCTGCACATCAGCGTCAGAGCCTCCCCAAGCGAGTTCAAAGTTGAGGTATCCGCCGTAGAACCACCTCTCTGATTCCTTCAGCCCGTACGGCGCGATAATGACAACATCAACTGTGTGACTCTGGCCGGGACCGATCAGGCTGGACCCCTGTGGGTCGATTGCAAACACTTGGGGCAGTTT